GATTGACACGTTTTCTGACTTTTTGGCGCGTTGGCGCGTTTTTTGAATTCAAAATAACGCCCGCCGCCACGTCTCCCATTACTGAAGGCGGCGGCGGGTTTTTTGAATTTGAAATAACGTCCGCCGTCGCGCCTCCCAGCATTTAAAGGCGGATTGACACGTTTTCTGACTTTTTGGCACTCGAGGAATCCGAAAATCTCCTAACATACGCACACTTCACGCCATCAGCCAAACGGTTTGAAGTACGGGTCAAATCCACTCGTCACCTCGCGAACTCCCCGCACTAGAGCAAAGACCCTTAGCACGAGGAGTGGGGGGCAATTGATGGAGGTAGATTTGACTTGACCTCTTGGCCACCCGACACATGGAAGCAATCGAGGGTGACCTGGCAAGAACGAGAGGAGCCCCGAGCTCAAGGCGCGAGCTCCCAGAAGAGGAGCCCCGAGCTCCCCCAAGAGGAACCCGTGACCCGAGCTCCCCGAAAGAAGCCCGAACTCTCCCTTTGACCCCAAGCCTTGCGAGGAGCGCAAAGGGAAACAACCCGAACTTGCCCACCCTAGGGTAGTTCGGGCCACACTTCTATCTGAACTCAAGACTTTACCTCGCACACCACTCCGGCACTTCGTCTCCAGGCCACCGAACTGAACTACCGTATCTGACACCAGAGGAGTCCGTATCTTGAGGCGGCGCACCTGACTGACTTAGGATCTGACGCTTGACAGCCGCACTTCAATGGCCACCTGCCACTGCCACCTCCAGTTACAGAGACGGCTCCGACAAAGAGAGCAGTGGCGGTTGCCTGCCCCAACAGAGGTGACGACACCCGAATTGGCAGAGGTGCAGAGGTAACGACACCCGAACTGGTAGAAGTGCAGAGGTAATGATACCCAACCTGACAGGAGCTTGGGAGTGAGTGCGCGAAGTGGTTATAAAAGGCCCTCTTCCCCCCGAGAATTGAGGTACGTGATAACTTTGCGCCATCTGGTTTTTAATCTTGCCTTTGAGGAAATACTAACTTGAACTTCGGAGCACTCTCACCGAGTTCCTCCCCGGAGACTACTCGCCTTCTTTCCCGTTTCAGGCACCTTTTGCTCCAATCAGAAGCAATCGACGAGTGAATACTTTGAACCATATTGAATTGGTCCAATTTAATGTTTGGACCATCGATTTTGTTTAAATTGGTTTTAATTTAGATTGGATTCATTGGCACCCATACTCCAATGGAGTGGATATTAGTTCAATACAACCCAGTCTAATATTAATCCATTGCAGATGGGCTACGTCTAGTTCAATCAAATAAATACTTTGGATCATTAAGTCTTTATTGGTCTAATTTAATATGTCTTATTGGTCTAACCAAGATTTTTAAAACAGGATCGGACAAGTAACTGTTTTGGGGACCGATTTTTGGGTCAAAACGAATAATTCATTTTGATAAAAAAAAAAGCAATAAAAAACTGTTGTCCGGATTAACACTTCAACCACACACAGGTCAGCAATTTACTAAACAAATCAATAATTTTGACCAAAAAACGATTTTGGGGTGAAACAAAACTGGTCAGACAACTGGTTCCTTTTCCGGTCCAACCGTCCAGTTTAGTCCAATCCAGTTTTGAAAACACTGGGTTTAACCCGTTCAAATTGATTTTAATAGTACAGTTCTAACCCAAATCCAGTCCTACGTATAATTAAATACCTCTATCGGTCGAGTATGAGGTGGCCCACTTCTGTCCATTTTAAGAGGATTGAGAACTAGGATTGAATGGGGTCGACCTTAGATATTGCTTGCACATGGATGGAATCAGTAATCTTATTTATTATATGATTTTCTTTTTTATTTTTACAAAGCTTTGTTTCTCTCTCTCCTCTCTCTTTCTGATTACTGTTAATCGTGTTCAGATTTCGACTTTGGCCCTTTCAAAAGGACAGCAATAAGGAATAAGCATATGCATTAAAAGTGTGAAGTTGCTATTTTATGGTGTGCCAATTCTAATTCCATTGGAAACATCATCCATCCAATGGAATAATTAGTGTGGGTTTTATGCATGTGGAAGTGGAACACATTACATTATTATATATTTATAATAGATGAGAAGTCGTCCCCACTCCACATTAACTCCCCCCCTCCCCCGCAAAGTTCTAGACGTTTCCATTTCCATCATTTACCTACTTATTTTGAAAAAAAAAAAAAAAAGAAAGCTCTAGAAACAGAGAGATGAATCTTTCTTCAACCTTTTTATAATATTTATAAATCTAACTATAATATTTATTATACAATTTTATTATTTTCTTTATTTATCTATTTATAATGGAAAAATGTATCATACCCGAAAAGTCCATCTGTGATGCAAAATACATCATCGATTTTATTCATATATCTCGATGTTATAATTACTTAACTAACAAATCATGCTGTAGATACAATCATGCTATGACTTGGTCGATTCCTCTAAATTTTATTAGGTTTATTTTTTTTGGATGAGATATAACCTGTTGTTTTGAAATAATTTTTTACCTTTATCTTTAAAAAAAAAAATGATCCTTTATTTTTCTATCTGCAAGCTGTAACATTATCTGGGACGAGGTGGCTCCCATGTCCTGGGCCCAACACTATTTCACGTGTGTGCCCTGAGATGGTTTTTGATTTTTAAAAGAAAAAAAAACAAAAGAAAAAAGAAAAGAAATCGTCCATGGCAACGTTCTTCCTTTTGTTCTGTTAAGCAAATTAGTTCAAATATCTGCCATCTATGGACTATGGGCACATTTTGGTTGCTACCTTGCGGGATGATAAGAATAAGTTCTGAATTCTGATTCAATCCCACCGGGGAACCCGAACCACCGATCACCGACCTGACTAAAGCTACAGAATGAATAAAACAAAAGCAGGAGCCAGGAGGAGAAAGGAAGAAGAAAAAAACAAGAAAAAAAACTAAATTTAAGAATTAAAACAAAGGATTCTCTCAGCACTCGGATGTCGCCAGAATCTACAAGATTCGTTCCAACCCATCCCGCGATCTATTTCAGCTACAGTTCGAGTTCGTCGACTACTCCCTTTCCATTTGTCTGGTAAAGTAAAACGCCTGTGCCCATCTCTCTTTTCTTCATTGTTCCTTTTCATTTTTCTGGAATTCCCTTATTCTCTCACTCACTCTCTTTCGCTTTCCATTCAACCACTCCTTCTACAGAGGAGTTGTAAGAGAAACAAACATGCTTTCATGCTTCATGCAGGCATGCATTGTATGTATGCATGGATACATTCTAGTCATTGTCCGTGACCCCAACTAGTCGGTTGTTATTATGTCCCAACTAGTTGGTTGTCATCCCCAGTTCCTTATCTAGATGGGTTCTCTCACTCTGTTTTGCTTCAGCTTCAACATCCACCTTGTCCATTCACTCCTATAAATATCATGCTTCCCTTCCTCTTCCTTGTTGATCTTGCGCGATCTAACTGTTCCCTGTTGGAGGATGATTTGACTTTGAATTGGATGGCGAGTTGAGCAAATCTATAAAACAAGATCAGAAAACCCGAGGTGGCTAGCCCGACGAGGTCGCTCTGATGCGAGCTGAATAGCTTTGAGAGTGTAGTGAGAAGAGCAGAAAAATCACGCGTACCTTGTGCCCTCGGGTTGGAGCCTTTATATAGTTGAGTCCTCACGGGTCTTGCGGATCGGTTTCGTGGTCTCCGTCACGATGGGATCCGTTTCCGCTTTAATTGGGAGATAACGTTATCAACTGATAAAGTTTATCAATTCCTCCCGAACCGAGTGGGGAGGAGATAAGGCTTGCCGCTATGCGGCATGATCGATGATGTTTGAGGTCTATTGGAGAGATTTCTGGGATCGTCACGTAGTGGTCTGGGTCGATTTCCCCGAGCTGATACTTTTTAGTTCCGAACTGAACTAAATGCCGAAGTGCCTTGGGGCGAGGTGGCTTTGTCCCAGGGTGACCTTGTTCCGAGGTGACCTTGTCCCAAAGTGATCCCGTGCCGAGGTGGTCGGGTGTCCAAGCTCAACTGTTGCGAACTAGACATGTCAGGCTGAGCTGTCATCTCTTAATCAGGTCGCATACACGTGTCCACATTTTACTACGTCGGGCCAAATCACCCTTCATCACTTGTAACAGGCCATGTGTTCGCTTCTAGTTCTCACTAGTTTTCCTTTTCCATATTCTTCACCTCTTTTGTTTGTTTTTGATACATCAGCTTTTAATATTCTTCACTCCAACTCTGTTTTCTCTTAATCTTCTTGTTCCAATACATCTTCTTGAAAGTTTTGAATTGGGTCGTCCTTGGCCTCTCTTTTGCCCACCCCATTTCTGAACAGTGGTAAAAAAGTATAATTAGAAATTCAGGACCTGTGTTGTGAGTGGTCATCATCTCTCTGTTCCTCCTCCCATGGCGCCCCCAAATCAATCTACCCACCCGGTTCCCATTGACATCCAAGCTGAAGACGTGAAGAGGTATTTTCAGTTGTCGGGTGGGAAGCTCATTGTCAATGGAACCGTATTGCTCTCCGAAGTTCCAAATAACGTCTCCTTGAGTAGCTTTTCATCCATCTGTCACTCCTCTGCTGCTCCACCTTCCCTGTTCGAACGAGTCCTCTCTACCTCGCACAGAGGTGCGTTCATTGGGTTCAGTAAAGAAGCCCCATTCGATAGATTGATCAACTCCTTGGGTAGCTTCACTGATAGGAATTTCGTGAGCATCTTCAGATTCAAGACCTGGTGGTCTACCATGTGGGTGGGAAGCAGTGGGTCCGATATACAAATGGAAACCCAGTGGGTGCTCTTGGATGTCCCGGAGTTGAGATCCTACGCTCTGATCCTTCCATTAATTGAAGGAAAGTTCAGGTCCGCTCTTCATCCGGGCGACGACGGCCATGTCATGATCTGCGCCGAGAGCGGGTCTACTCAAGTGAGCACCTCCTCTTTCAATGCAATCGCTTATGTTCACATATCCGACAACCCTTACAATTTGATGAAGGAGGCCTACAGTGCTGCTAGGGTCCATCTCAATTCATTTAGGCTGTTGGAAGAGAAGACAGTCCCAGCTCTGGTAGACAAGTTTGGCTGGTGTACCTGGGATGCCTTCTACCTGACTGTGGATCCCGTCGGTGTCTGGCATGGAGTGAAGGACTTCGTTGAGGGAGGCATCACCCCAAGGTTCTTGATCATTGATGATGGCTGGCAGAGTATCAACTTAGATGGTGAGAATCCTCACGAGGATGCCAAGAATCTTGTCCTGGGCGGCACCCAGATGACTGCCAGGCTTTACCGGTTTGAGGAGTGTGAGAAGTTCAGAAGATACAAGGCTGGGACCCTGTTGGGACCCAATGCCCCATCGTTCGATCCAAAGAGACCAAAGATGCTCATAGCAAAGGCAATTGAGCTGGAGCAAGCGGAGAAAGCCCGTGACAAGGAGATCCAAGCCGGAGTTGGTGATCTGTCGGAGATTAATTCAAAGATCGAGGTGCTGAAGCAAGAGTTAACTGAGATGATCGGTGATGAAAATAGTGCTAGTGGTCCAACTCCAACAGGAGGAGGCTGTGGAAGCTGTTCTTGTAAAGCCAGTGATTATGGTTTCAAGGCCTTTACTCAGGACCTGAGAACCAAATTCAAAGGGTTGGATGATGTTTATGTGTGGCAGGCTCTCTGTGGTGCCTGGGGTGGTGTTAGGCCTGGAGCTACCCATCTCTATTCAAAGGTGATCCCTGTTAAAGTCTCCCCTGGACTCGATGGGACAATGACTGATCTCGCAGTGGTGAAGATCGTTGAAGGTGGGATTGGGCTCGTTCACCCTGACCAAGCAACTGATTTCTATGACTCGATGCATTCCTATCTCTCCAAGGTTGGAATAGCAGGAGTTAAGGTGGATGTCATACATGTAAGTAGTCTGAGTCCCCTGTTTGATACTAATTTCCTGCTAATCAACACAACAGAGCTTTAACAAGTTTGGTGACAAAACTACAGACACTTGAATACGTATGCGAGGAATATGGTGGCAGGGTTGAGCTTGCAAAAGCTTATTACCAAGGGCTGACCAGGTCTCTCGTGAAGAACTTCAAAGGCACAGGACTCATCTCAAGCATGCAGCAATGCAACGACTTTTTCTTTCTGGGCACATGGCAGATATCACTGGGAAGAGTAGGTGAGTATTTGTTTCTGCCTAGTTGATTTGGACTTTGGGAGAAGAAATCAGAAAGCTATAGCTACCTACCTGGATGAGATTGATTTTGTTCTGTTCTGTTTTGCTACAGGGGATGACTTCTGGTTCCAAGATCCCAGTGGGGATCCCATGGGCGTGTACTGGCTCCAAGGTGTTCATATGATCCATTGTGCTTACAACAGCATGTGGATGGGTCAGATCATACAACCAGATTGGGATATGTTTCAATCAGACCACCAATGTGCCAAGTTCCATGCTGGTTCTAGGGCCATCTGTGGGGGGCCTGTGTATGTAAGTGACTCTGTTGGTGGCCATGACTTTGATCTCATAAGGAAGCTCGTCTACCTAGATGGAACCATTCCCAAGTGCCACCATTTCGCCCTCCCCACTAGAGACTGTCTCTTCAAGAACCCTCTATTTGACAGCAACACCACTCTTAAGATTTGGAATTTAAACAAGGTATTCTCATCCCACTGATAAAAGGAAATCCTATTCCTTTTTCTTCCTAAAAAGTTAACAGAGAACAAGTTTCCATTTGTGAATATTTGAAAAACTTTACCATCTATCTCATTCTCATCGGTCATCACCCCAATTAATGTATGTATGTTTTTGCAGTTCGGAGGAGTGATTGGAGCATTTAACTGTCAAGGAGCTGGTTGGGATCCGAAGGAGCAAAGGATCAAGGGCTACTCTCAGTGTTACAAGCCGATATCTGCTTCTGTGCATGTGAGGGATGTGGAATGGGACCAAACGACAGAAACGGCTGAAATGTCCGAAGCCAATGAATACGCCGTCTACCTCAACCAGGCAGAGCAACTTCTGTTGGTGACCCCTGAATCGGAATCCATCCAAATCACCATCCAACCATCTTCCTTCGAGATTTTCAGCTTTGTACCAGTCAAGAGGCTCGGTTCAACTGCTAAGTTCGCACCAATTGGACTTACCAACATGTTCAACAGTGGGGGGACCATACAGGAGTTGGGGTACTACGAATACGGAGCAGAGATCAGTGCAAAAATTAAGGTCAAGGGTGGAGGAAGTTTCTTGGCTTACTCGAGTGAACCACCAAAGAAGAGCTACTCGAATGGTGATGAAGTCGGTATTGAGTGGTCGGATGATGGTAAGCTCACCCTGAATCTTCCTTGGACAGAAGACAGTGGTGGCATATCTAATGTGGGTTTTGTCTTTTGATTTTGGAACTCTCTTTCTTGGTCTATTGGGGGTGATCAGAGATGTAATGTGTTCTCAGTTATTTATGTACAAGTCTGTCATACTAAAATAGATGAATGTAGCTCAAGTCAAGAAGATATATGTTTGATTCTAAATCCCTGATTTGAGATTTATATTAATTATCATGCATTCTTCCATCTTGTCTATTAATTTGATAAAATTCTTCGATTGTGCAATTAATAGACTGCTATTTTTCAAACCCAAGTTTCAAAAATAGAGGGAGACATCTGTGATCATTGTAAATATATAAAAAGGGAAAGAATGGAATTTATCGTTTAATTTAGTGGAAATCGAACCAGTATGAGCTGTGAAAAACCAATCTGCAAAAGAGCAGACTTCTGGCAGATATCTGTGAATCACTTCAGAAGATAGCTCAAATTAGAAATGCAGAATTGAAACAATGCATGTATATATAGCAGCAGCTTGCTACCAGGTTGTATAAAGAATTTGCAGATACATGAAGAAGGAAGAAGCATAACGGTTTAAACCAAGGTTTTTGAATCACCGTTGATCTGGACCATTGGACCATTCGGCCTGGGAATCGTTCTGTTTTACCTAACCGTTTTTGGTCAAAAAATGTTAAAAAAATCAACAAACATTGATTTGGGCAGTTAAACCGTTGATCCGTCAATCCATTCAACGGTTTGTGACTATTTTTTAATTTTAAAATATTTTTTTATTCTTTTAATTTATTTATTAAAACGAATTATCCGTTTAAACCCAACAGTTGACCCAAAAACCGATGATCAGAACAATTCCATTTCCTGATCGTTTTTTAAAACGTTGGTTTAAATAGTTTTAATTTCAGTTTTTTTTCCGAACAAATAAGTAGCTGTGGATATCACCTCTTACAATCCATTTCAAGAGACGAAGCTGTGATCCCGTTCAAATGTTATCTATATCTATCTATATATTAATATAAAATGTATGCTTTCTCTTAGCGCCTAAATGGAATCAATTCGTGCGAGAAGATTAGCGCCTTCACGTGCGAGAGATTTGAGCGTGTCTCACCACCAATCTCTCGAACTCTCTTCGCTTTTCGAAGGGCCGCCGCCTGATGCTCAGGAGTAACAAATGTCTCTCTCCCGAGTGCGCTCCAACCAGTTTTTCCCCACAAACGCCCACACGCTCACGAGCCGACAGCACCAACCGCCTAGATAAACTTGATGAGTCAAACTCCATTATTAATTGACTAACTGGCTGATGGTGAAGACTTTCAGAATCATCAATCATGGTGACCATTAATTCTAATTGCTTGAGATCTGATGGGATAATTCTGTATTAATTTTTGTTTATTTTGATGAGCTGACTGCAATTCCATGAACTGTGTTGTTGCTGGGTTTTTGTCTGAAGAAATTCCAGATTCCCAGGTGGGTCAGTGTGGAAGGAGAGGCTGCATATGTCATTGTACAGTTGCACTGACTGGGTTAGGCCTAGATAAGAATGGCAACCCCAAGAAGAGAACTACCCCACACACCCACTGACCCACGCACAGCATTGAGCCTGAGAGAGAAAGAGAGAGGTAGAACAAAACCATGAAAAAGCTTGTGGGACCTCCAACTGTTGTTTGCTTTGTTCAGCTACGACTCTATAAAAAAAGAAGCCGCCCAGCTACGATAAAGAAGAAACAGTACTGAAGACATGGCTACCCACTGCATTAATTGATTTGGTCGCCCGGCCAACTCCGATTTGCTCATCAAGCGTGGGTTTTACACGAAAGCCACTAGAAAATGCGTACACCCTTATTTTAGGGCTGGATTCGAGTCGAGTCGAATAGTATCAGGTTCGAGCTCGACTTAACCTTCTATCGAGTTTGTTTATATATATATATATATATAAACGAAAACAAAAAAAAATAAAAAATAAAAAACGACGCAAAAAGATGGGCTGGGGAGTATCGCTGGTTGCCGTTGTAGGTGCCGGTGCCGGAATAGGAGAAGATGATAAATACCACTGATTTCTCTGATATCTGGAAAACGAAAACATCAGAAAAAAAAACGAAAAAATAAAAAACGAGGTGAAAAGATGGGCTGGGGAGTACCGCCGGTTTCCGTTGTAGGTGCCGGTGCCGGAGAAGAAGAAGATGCTCTGGCGAGCGAAAAACAGTCAGGGTCAGCACTCGAGAGGGAGGAGAGGGAGAAGAGGGTTTCGAGATACCTAATCTGGAGCTATCGAATGAAGGGGTTGAAACGGAAGGGGTTAACGAACGTTATGTTATCCCCGCACGCGCTACTTACGTATCTCGTGTGAAGGGGCAGGTGGCAGCTCGTAAGCGTGTGGGCCGTTTGTGGGGAAAAACATCGTGGGGCGCATATTTGAACTCACTCCTCACTCTCTCTTTTATCTCTTTCTATTGTGTTGTTGGGACGATTATGCTGTCTGATTTGTCTATAAGGCCTTCTTTCTAAGGTTTCTGTCTTGGAGGCTTGACAATGTGCTTCAGTGATCATTTCTTCTTCATTGGCCTTGGTTGCACAGTGGTGGAGATCCTCAGGGGTTGGGATGTTGCTGCAACGACACTGACTGTTGAAGATGGTGGTGGTTTTCGATGGCCTATTGTCTTTAGTTTTTTTTTTCTTTCCCCTTCTTTTTATGTGTTCTTTCTTGTTCTTTTTGCTTGTGCTAATTCCTGTTTTCTCGTCATTTTCCGTTTGCCTTGGAGGGTCCGGCGATGGCGTCTAGTGGCAGTTTTTTCTTCACTATTTTGGGTGCTGGTTGTAGTCGAGGGGAGATTGTCAGAGATCTGGTAGTTTGGGAGTTGGGTGTCGGTGTGGTGGCGCGTGGGGTGACGACGGGCAGTGGTTCCAGTGGTGGTTTCTTCTTCGCTATTTTGGGTGTTGGCTGTAGTCGGGCGGAGGTTGTCGGAGGTTTGGTGGTTTGCGGTGTCAGTGATGGCGGATCTCTGACCTTCTTTTGAGGTTGTGTGTCGGTGCAATGGCACGTATCTGGCCTTCTTTGGACTTCTGTGGCGGTGGGGTGGCAGCTATAAAGTGTTGATGTTCATTGGCATCACCGACGACGGTGGTCTTTGTTCTTCATTATTTTCTCTGTCCAATCGGGCATCACATGCAGGTTGGATAGTCATTGATATGGGTCGACCCAAGGCGGGGTGTAGCGGATCCGATGTCACCGTTTCATGTTTGGGCCTGTGCTAGGGAACCAGACCTATGTTCGAATTACCCTGTTACTTTCTCATTTAAGGACCAAAAAACAGGGAGCATTTTTACGTCTTAATCGTAAGACCATCGACCATTCGACACCAGTTTTGCGATAAATATTGGCCGTCGGCGTCGTTAAGGCGGCCGACCACTATCTTTCGCCCTTCAGACTCCACTGTGGTCAAGCGCCCCTGTTTCTCAGTTAATGACAAAAAATTAGTGAGCATTTTCACCCTTAACGTAAGGCCATCGACCATTCGTCGCTGACTTTGTGAGAACTAATATCCGCCGGCATCTTTCCGACGACAGACAGCTCTTTTCTGGTGTTCAAATCCTAGATACACATGCTAGGCTTCGCACTGTGGTCGAGCAACTACTGTAGCTCACCTGGTCAAGAAGGCGATAAGTTTATGTTGGGTCTGGATACTCCATCCCGGCTCATCGGTTAAAAAAGCTCAACCATGTTGGTAAGCTTGTTTATGTTTGTCTCCCCTCCTCTTCATTTTTCCCCCGAGGTGTTTATATGCTTTCATTTTTATTTTTATTTTTATTTTTTGGTTGATTACAATTCACTGCATTCTTAGCTTATATAAATCTTATCTAGGATTAATGTAGTAAGCTTATTTATTTATTTTTAACAAGCTAAATACATCTTTTAAGATTGGATGAATGAAACATGCTAAGTTTATTTTGTCGCTGATGAGGAACCACCACCAAAGCAAAAGATATCTCATAGTTTCTCTGATCAGAAGAGATATCTCTTAGTTACGTTCATCAGAAGAGATATCTCTTAGTCTCCAATTAAGTTTACCCTAGTTTCTACTCCTTTTATTATTTAATCCATATTGCATATATTCTGCTTCTGTTCTGATTATTTAAAAACCCTTTGTCTCAGGAATTTATCCATAATCATATATAATTTTAAGTTGTGAATTATCTGTAACTACTATTTGTGAAAATTATTAAATTAACAAAAATTTGTGATCATTATTTCAATTTACCACACTTATCGTTATATTATTTGTAATAACCAACAGTAAATTATTTTTAGTTATGGGTGAATTATTAGAAAGTATTGAAATTGTAAGAATTATTTGTTTCAAAATTAGTTTTTACCAATTTCATAATAGTTAATCTCATTAAAAAATATAAATAATAATATAAAAATAAATGATCATTAATTATTAAATACAGAGCATCTATTTTCTGTACTGAACCCCTAATATTGTTCTTTTCCTTTTTTATTGATCTCGATCTTTTGTCAAGATTGTAATTTATCAAATTTATTAATTAATATATATATATATATATAGAGAGAGAGAGAGAGAGAGAGAGAGAGAGAACATGATGGTATACATATTTCTTTCATGTGACCAAACCTAACCTGACCCTTTGTATGAATTGTATGAGTTAGAATGTAAGTTTTGGGCCAAAATACCACCTCTAATTTGTTCAATCACTCATTTAGTTAATATTTAGTTCAATTTGCTTGTTTAAATATTACTCATATTGGTTAATTTTTTCAATTTGTAGTTAAAGGTTTTCATATGTTTCTATGTTTATTATTAGAATGGCTTTGCTGCTTTTTTCATTCTTATTATTAATAGTTTTCTTGTTTGCAAGAAAGTAAGGGTATTTGCTCCTTCATCCCTTTTCTACAGTTTGAAAACTTTTTTTTTGTAATACATTTGATCAAACAAAGATATCATATGAGCTTTGCATGGGATAGAGGAGAGTTTTTTAGAATTGGGACGAAAAACAAATTAATAATGGAATTAAACATAATAACCCTAAAGAAAAACAGGCAAAATGTGGATTCCTTCACCGAAAATTTAAAGTATTTAGGTATCCTGGACAGCTTTGGGTAGAATTGGAGCTCAGAATGTGTCACCTCTTTTTATTATCTTCTTCATGAAAGAAAATTCCATGGTCAATCAAAGTTTCTAAGGATCATGCATTTGGATTTTGGACAATCATGCATGTAAAGTAACACTTTACATGTTTATTTGTTCATTTTTTTTTTAATTCATTAGTTGAAGGCATGATAGATATACCTCTATAGAGTTAGGCTAAGAGGAGTTTATCTTGTTTTGGTTCTTGATTGTAGATTTTTGCTGTATTGCTGTTTATTAGGAAATTGTTAGGTATAGGATTTCTATCACGCATAAAATTATGAATGAAATGCTGGAACTGCATGTCTTTTAATCTTGAGAATGCAGTCATTTTTGTTACTTAAACATAAGAATTGCATTTGGTATCCAAATCTGAGCAAGCTCTAGATTTGGTTTGGTGGGAGTAGTTTCACTATTTAACCTTGTCTTAGATTGCATCATCCTTCACATAGCCCTGTCCTTGGTTGAATCTCCTGCAAACAAAACTGAAGTTAATTTTCTTTTACCAAGTATCTATTATTCTCTTCAAATCTGTCCATCATCTTTAGCAAGTAAAGTGTCAGGAGTTAATATTACCCTTTCTGTTGCTGAAATAATAATAATAATAATAATAATAATAATAATAATAATAATAATACCCTTTCTATTGGTGTCTTTAATTTGAACGTCAAGTTAGTCTTTCTGTTCTCACTACTGTGTCCACTGTTGTTTTCTTGTCAATGTTTTCAAGTATAATTTTGATTGAAAGACACTTAGCCCTGAAACATTATTTGCTATTGGTTGGTTTGTATACGTGTGCCCAGACATGTCAACTGTACAATGCGTTCGTTCATGTGTTGTGTATATTTTGCTCCAGTACAATGACAACAATAATAATCAACTGCCTTGTCAGGTACTTCGAGGAATGTTAAGTGGGGATACATCAAAGGACTGATATATGAAGAAATTATTGTACAAAAAAGGTTGCAGCAAGTAGCAACAGGAAAAACTGCATAGGATGGAATTCTTGGTTCTCAACTCTTATTCATTTTTGTTGGTCTTATCATTTTTTCATTTTCCTTTTCCCTTTTACCCAAATAGAAGTTTCAATTATTCAAAAGAAGGGCCCTTCGTTTGAAATTAGAACTTTAACCAAGAAGATGATAGAGTAATAGAAAGCTGAAGTTTGGTGTTTTCTTGCATGCTGCTGGATCGATTTAAGTAGAGATGCATTTCGGGAATCAGTGTTAGCAAAATAAATTATATATAAATTTTAATCTATTTTAAGAAACTTTTTTCTAAGATACTTTCACTAAAAAAATAACTTCTCAATTACTTTTTTTATACAATAATTTAATTTCTCCAAGCCCCTGCAACGCAGGGCCCCTCCGCTAGTGTAAAATTAAAATGAAATATACAAATCCTATTTGGCGGTACCTATACCTATCTGCCTTGATAGGGAGGGTTTTTCATTTGAAAAATGGATTCAGAGGAGGGGATGGATTTTGAGAATTTACAACCCATGTAGCTGTGGGTGTCATTTGGATTGGATTTGGTCCAATCCGATCCAGTCTAATGTGAGCCCATCTTAAATGGACCATGTCTAATCCAATCCAATGAATGTTTTGGATCAATTTGGACGGGTCCAATTCAATGTTTGGACCAAGGTTCAAAATATCGATATGCCCGATATGCTGGTAGGGGTGTATTGGGTGTTTTGATACTTGTTTTTTTACCTTTTTTTTTATTTTTTTTTCAAAACTGGTTCAGGGGAGCCAGTTTAGGACCCCTCCATCCCCTGAACTGGTCAGACCCCCAATACACCCACTGTAGGGACGTATCGGAACGGTCCCGAAACGATATGTATCGGCCGATACTTTGAACTTTGGTTTGGACCATCCAATCTGTTCAAATTCATTTTGGTTTAATCCAAACCCAATCCAATATAAATTTATTACAGAAGGACCAGGTCCAATCTAATATAATAAATATTTTGGAATGGATTGGTCCAATTCAATGTCTTCTTGATCTGTCTAAATTGATTTTGGACTGGACGGGCTCCAATCCAAAACAGGTCCATTGACACCCTTACATATAGCTAGGTGATGGTAAATGGATATTTTGATGTTTATTCATGTTCTTTTACTTGTTTATTACTTACATATAACAAAAAATAATAGAAAATTAGATATGGGTTATAGACCCATAGACCCACCCATCCACCCTCAAAAATAATAGAAAATCAGATATGGGTTATAGACCCATAGACTCACCCACTCACCCACCCAACCACCCTCTAATGAGGATAGAATAAGGGAGAGTTTTGCATTTTCACATGCGAAGTGGATTTGGATTTTGAAAATCCAATTCGCTAGAAATTGAATAATTCAAGCTCAAAGTTCAAATCTCAGGGTAAGTTCTATTAGTAATTCAAATTGAAAATTGACTAATAAAATGTTCAACTAGAAAGTTAACGAGCTAAATTCAACCTCATCAAAACTTTAATTGAACCAACTTTGATTCAGAAAATAGAATTCAAATCAAACTCAAATTCAAACCTAGTAACATTTTAGTCAAATCGATTCAAAACATACAAAAACTTGACTTGGCTCGACTCGATTACACCATGATATGGATTGAAATGTCTAGCGACGCAGGTTAAAAACCTCTCAAACCCGCCTTGTTGAGTTTCCTACAATTAACGAGCTGCCAAACAGGGTAGAATTATAACAGTTAAGGGCAACTTTTGGCCCTTAATATCAATAAAAGTAATATATTTAAAAAATATATCAAAAATGGGTTAATTTTTTAAAAATAATATCAGTTAAGGACAAAAACACTGTTTATCTTCTTCCTCTTGCAACCCATTCACCGGCGCCACTGCCCGCCGCTGCCTCAGCCAACGCCTTTGCCTATCTCTACCACTTTGGCCTCCACCTTTGGCAACGTTGTCGGAGGTGGGCGGAGGCAGAGGCAGCGGTGGTGGTCATTCCTCTGCCCTATGCCGCCACCTCAGCCCACCAGCACCGCCGTCGCCTCTACCTGCACCCACCTCCGGTAACGTTGTCGGAGACGGATGCGGAGGTGGCGGCGTTGGACAAAGGAATTGATAACTCGAGTAGAATGAGAAACTCTTCTTCCTTTTACCTTATTGTTCTTCCTTTGCAGAGAAACTCGGCAGAGACACCAATCGTTCAGAACCATAGACTTGGAGAATACCCAGACCAAGTACCTACCAATAAGGAGAGATACCAAAGGCTGGTAGGTAAACTCATTTACCTTTCCCATACTCGTCCAGACATCGCCTACGCCGTCAGCGTAGTAAGTCAGTTCATGCACTACCCATGCGAAGATCACATGAATGCTGTAATGCGGATTCTTCGATACTTGAAGTCCTCACCTGGAAAAAGACTCATGTTCTCAAAAAATGATCATCTAAAGATAGAAGGCTACACAGATGCAGATTGGGTCGGAAATGTCTCAGATAGTGATGAGGGCGGATTTTGCCCTCCAGTGAAATTGTGACACCTGGCACCTCATGCAAACCAAGTGCAACCTCTTGACAACTAGGCAGCTCGGTCAGCTCGGCACAGCTCGGCATAGCCCGAAGAGCTTACCACTTAGAGGCAGCTCGACACTTACAAGCAGCTCGGCATAGGCAGCTCGCCACAGGCAGCTGGCCACTCCGCAGGCAGCCTGGCGTCTTACGAAGAGCTCGCCACTTAGGGGCAGCTCGGCACTTACAGGTAGCTCGGCATAANCACTTACAGGTAGCTCGGCATAAGTAGTTCGGAACTTAGGGGCAGCTCGGCGTATCGCAGGAAGATCTCCTACCTGAAAACCATACCTGACAGATCCGGAGGCCTGCGCCCACGTCTCTCGCTAGGCGGCACCGTGCCTGCCAGTCCTGAGAGCTGTCCCTTGATTGGCAGAGTCGTACTCTGTAGCAGTCGCCTGCACCCGCCACCTCAACTCTGGCAGTAACGGCTGCGGCAGAGAGACAGAGGCAGTTACGCCTGACTTGACAGAGGCTGTTACGCCTGATAGGACACCACTATATAAGGACTCCGACCCCCAAAGACAGGGGGGAGAGAATGAAAAAAATGGAGGTAATCCTTGCTCCCTAGCACCCGAGTAAGGTGTTGGCTCTCGGATTTTGATGTTCATGGAAGCTAGGGTGGAGGGAGTGCTTGGTGTGTTGGCCACTGCCCTCTTTAGGA